AAAATATGATCTTTAATAAGCTATTTGTTTCCATTAAACATAAAATTCATTAATTCTCTTTATTTAATTGTGAATAATCATTATACAACGGACTATTATTTACAAAAAGACCAGTACAAGTGGAAGAAAAGGTATCGGAGAAATATCGTCAAGGCAGATGTTGTGCCCTTTTTCATGTCACTATAGAAAAAAGTTTGTGAACAAGAAACTGTGTAACATTTGTCTTTTAAGTTTGGCAAGAAGATCGATTACTGTTACAGGACGAAAAAAAAGATCAGAAACTGAAGAAGAAGCTATCATTATATAATATTCTAACTATTCATTTCAAATTCTCAAAGATTAACGAGAATATTTATATCAATAGATATAAAATTAATTGTTAATAGAATAATAATATTAAACCAATCGTAATATACAATTTTTATTCGATCTTTGCAATACAACATTAACTCATTACAGATTGTACGAAAATCGTAATATATCTGCTTATATAATAAAGTGCAATAATTTTAATTAAAATTCCAATGAATACATTCGTATTTAACGAAATGTAACTGATTAAAGTTACCAATAAAGTTACTGTTTTTAATTACTATAGTAATTAATTCGAGAATCGTCGAAGGCTCAAATGAATAAATCAAAGAATAACATCAAGTTGCCAATATGAGCCGACACCAGGTGACTGCGTGTTGAAAATTTTTCTTTATTAATTAATATAAATCCATACGTTTCGACCTCAATCTAGGTCCTCTTCAGTGTAATATACAAAGAACTTAGAAAAATATATAGTGAAATATAAAAAATAAGCTATAAAAAATATAAAGTGATTTCTATTGGATTTGATTAGTAGTGATAACACCTCTAAAGATTCTAAGTTCTTTGTATATTACACACTGAAGAGGACCTAGATTGAGGTCGAAACGTATATGGATTTATATTAATTAATAAAGAAAAATTTTCAACACGCAATCGCCTGGTGTCGGCTCATATTGGCAACTTGATACTATAGTAATATTTACTTTTTGATTAAAATTAGATATAAACTAAAAATTGTTACTATATGTAATTATTTTATTTTAGAAAAAATATATAACGTTAAATACTTAATATATTTGTGCATATATAACACATATATATTTACAATAAATGTTTAGTATATCTATATTAATTATGAAATATAAAACTTAATATGTCATACTAATGATGACTTCAAAGAGAAATGAAATTATTTCCTCTTCAATTTTGTGCAACATATTATCTGGTATCAATGTCTAGTATAGTCCCTTTATAATTAACAATGGATGCATGGATAATTTTTTAATTCAATACATTGTCTACATCCATGAATCAATACAAAGCATGAGTTACACGTTTAATGATAATTTAATTTACATACGTCATATGTTGTACACAGTATTCATGTAGTTAATTAATTATACCTTTTAATGAAATGGTCAAAATATAAACACAAAATAATTTCTAACATTATTAATATGTTAACAACTGTAAATAAAATTTTAGAATTTTACACATGTATATTATATTTTCATAAAAAGATATTCAACGGCTTTTAAATATATATTATTTAACAATCGATACAAATTTACAAGAAAAAATATAATATACCATGTACATGGAGATTCACACATTACAAAAATAATAAAACATTAATTTCCATGCATATGCGTTAAAATTATCTATAATGATTAATATTATAACATGCAGTGGGATTTGCAAATATTCTTTCGAAGAAGATATAAAACATATTTTATTTGATTTTCCATAAAACATATCGCACATCATATTACTCTTAGCTAAAATAAACAGATATTATTTGCTACCGTAATACATGAAACGTGTTTATTATAATATGTTCTTATGGCACTAATTTATGATACATCAGTAAGCAAAATTAATGAAATTGTTAAAAATGAAAATTGATAAATGCGATATATTTTCGACAGAAATTTATTATGACATTACTTGTTTTCATATTAATTATAATTAAAATTAAATATGTATAATTTATTATAAACATTATCTTTCAGTAATTAAATAAAATATTCAGCACAAAATAATTTATTAATCATCTATGTTAACTGAAATTTCAAGATGTGTGCGGTTATAACTTTAAATATTATCTATTTGATAAGTATACTTTAGACATTAACAGTTATATAAATCACATTATTTTCGCGCGCGCGCGCGCGCGTGTGTGTGTGTGTGTGAAATATTCAAGTTATTCTCTTCAAAATTTCAAAGTTATTTGTAAATCAAATTACATGTATCGTTCTCTCTTATTTAAAAAATGAGGCAACATTACAAATTCATTTTTCCGGAAAAGGAAAGAAACTATTGTTGTACTTAACAGAAATTACTGAATAATCAAATATTGGCAAACACAATATATAGACATGATTAAATGTTATTTTTATTGTTTTCAACATTTGTTTTGATGTTTACAAACGTTAAAACGCTATCGTTTCTGAGTTGTAATGATTTTGACGTTCCTTCTTTACATTATTCTTTTTAAGTTAGTTCATTTTTTACTATATGATTGATAAAGTAATTAGGTATTTAACTATTATAACTCGTTTATGATAATAACTCGAAATCATGTTTTTCAAAGTAGTGTCATTTTTAAAGTAGTTATATTAACTCACACATGCATAAATAATTAATGATACTTACCTCTCTCTCTTTCTCTCTCTCTCTCTCCCCCTCTCACTCTCCTTCTCCCTTTCTTTCTAGCAAGAAAATTCCTTTCAATCTGTTTCCATCTCAAGAAAGTACGGAAACATGTAACAAAAAAAAAATAAAAATCTGTAACGTAAATAAAAATAAACTAATAAAAACTTAGCAAAATTATTACAAATAAAAGTATATTGATTATATGGAATAAATGAAGATCTGGCTCTTTACGGTAAGGTTAGTTATTAATAAATAATACATGCATAATAGCAGTCATTTACTCGATTTATTAAGATATACAGGCCGACAGTTCCACTATCTATATCTAATTATCGGTTCGTGTGTCATCCGAGGCGATGCACCCAGTACATAAAAATCATTTGACATAGTGAAATCGTCGGACATGATACATTAATAACATTATTATAACTTAATTTGAGATATAGCTACGATCGCTGCAGCCTCATTGGTATTCTATTAAACGACGTTATCGTACCGAATACCGCCGTATCATCTCAAACAGTATATAATATTCACAACACTCGCCTTCTACACTCGGTTTAACAAGCGCAGCCTCGAGTCATCCTCTCAAAGACGACGATCCAGACTGATCACAGCACAACGTATCTACAATATTTACAGAATTAACAGGGAAAGGCGCATAACATGTCACATCCGTCTCATCTAAAATCGAACGGCATGATGGCAATTTATATAATATGATATGATCAGGTACAACGTAAGAGGAGATTCAAAGTGGTTGAAGCGTCGCAGAGTATTCTCTACGTACATATATGCCCATAATAGCCGCACATTCGCGTCACGCGATGGACAAAACGAGAAGTGAAAAATAGGAATTTGCGCGAATATGATAATCGCTTTCGGAGATGCCAATCAATTTTCGAGAACAGCGATTCGAGAGAGATATTTATATATATATGTACGCGCTATATATTCAACATTAATCGTAACAACAGTACGCGTTGCACCTTTCCGGATTGCTATCGTTTCTAATAATCGCGGTCGCTTAACTCTGCGATAGAAACCATATTTCACTCCATCGAAATGTCATAATCGCGCAAAAAGAAGCCACGAAGCTCTCTGCGTCACCGTCGTCGATGATTCGAGGCTACTTGATATCTAGCGTTAATTCTTTCCCCAAGACACACATACTCGGGCGCGAGCTTACAGATTTTCGTCGAACTCCGTTAGCAGTCGCACCACGCAAAACGCATGTAGGACCATGTGCTCGAATTATACTTGCACTCCTTATCAATCCAACAACTAATTATGAGATTACCGAGCGATGCGTCTCGACACAACTACGATCCGTACGTATATGTATATATATATATATATATCTATATATATATTTTTGTTTATTTATATTTTTTACCGTTTTATCCATACGTATATGTATATTTACTGAATACAGTTCCTTTGTCTTTCTCGTGATATAGCAAAAACGCGCATACATAACATAAAAAACGTCAATTAAAATGCACATTAATATCTCTCAATTTTTTCGAAAAAAGAAAAAAATGAATTAGCGCCTAATGGTTACTGAACGGTTTAGTGAATTATGGCAAATATACATGACGTTTCGTTTCACATCGGCGTATCGGAAGCCGATAATATGTGAAAAATGTATCGGGGGCAATATTTACTGATAGTCGAGCGGCGTTTGAAAAATGTTACGTTTGAAGAACATTTCATACATTAATACGACGGCCAATCGTAAATCCAAATATTTTTTTCAGGAGTCGCATGTTTTACGAGAAAGATATTACAAATGTCCTACCAAAAGGAATTCGAGCAGGTTCATCATATTGTGTCCGAATGATCAAGTTTCGCTAATCTAACACTCCGCTTCTCTCAATTCGAATAGAAAAGAAGAAGCGGACACATTCGTCGCGCCGGGCGAGGATTCTCAGTCCCCGAAATGTCCCAAATTTCCAGAGAGAAGTCTCGGTGTCCTCCTCATCTGAGTGTATTCCCAATCCCTGAAACTATTCAACGCGGGATCATCAGATAGAAGGACATCGCGGGTGACGGGTCTCTCTCAATGTATGCGCCGCAGCATTTCTCCTTGACGTTTCTGTTCAAGAGAGTTCGCCGTAACGGTCGCCGAAGGGGAAGCTTCTCCGTACATAGGAGAGCCGAGTCGCGCTATTTTCATACGAGCGCCGATCAGTCGAGAAAGCCTAAACGTAACTTCGTACTCACCGCATATATACTTACACGACATTATATATATATTTATATATTTATATATTCATATATATATATATATTATATATTTTCTTTGCGCTCTTTTTCTCTGTGTATAAGTTTATTTTTAGTACGAAAATAATTTCAAGCGCGACGCGGTTAGTATTCGTCCGTCATTTGCCTGATGGCGCACCGGAACCACGCGCGCACCAGCTGTCGCCGGCCCGGTTGCCGACCAATAAACACTAGAACTGGAAGCCCCGTTCCTGCGACGTAAGAATCACCTTCGGATGGCCGGTACCAGCAATGACAGGAGGCTCGAAAGGAGAAGGATGAGCGGTACACGATGGGACATACCCGAACTCTGGACGTCCGGCAGCTCACCCGGTGGCCTCATCGACGCTTGGCCGAAATCCCTATCATAGTCTGGAAACAGACGAAACTACGCTGCGATTGTTCTAGCAAAATGGACAACTATTATGTGAGCGTAATAAAAAAAAAGTACCATTCTTTTTCGAACATAATTGATAATTCATTCGCAAAAAGAACAGCTAGAGAAGATAATAGAAAGTAGAGAAAAACGTTGAAATATGAGATCCAAAACATTATTCTATGTTTATCAGTTCTAGGATATAGATTACTTAGACCGGAAACGATTAGAAAATACACAGTCATAGACTTCCAGATGTTACACTTTAAATTCAAACATAAATTATAAATAATTTTACAAGAAATATAAAAACATGAACTCTTTTATGTAGTTTCATAAATCATATATTATGACATATAGTATATATCCAAGAGATCGAAAAAATATTTTTATACATTATACTCTAACCGATTCAATTCCATTTTTATCTCATATTTCGACATTTTTTTTTACTAAATTATAATTGATTTATTGTTCATATGACAAGGCTAGTAATTCAATAGAGATGAGTGTATAAAAATATCGCATCTGTCTCTTACAATTATGTACTCTGTATAAAACGCGTTGCCGTAAAACTTGTAAAATCGAAGAACCAGTAAAAGATTTTTAATGAATGCACATGAATAATAGATTTAAACGTAATTATTTCCATTCAAATATTATATATGTATGTCATCAAGTTCATTTGCATGTCGGTAATGATATTATTATATATTTATAATACAAATACACATACATATGTGTATATATATTATGTATGTGTGTGTATATATGTATGTTTCTATATATGTGTGTGTGTGTATATATATATATATATGTATATATATATATATGTGACAGATTTGTCCAACTCATACTCGAGCAAAAGATCGAGCAAGAAAGAAACGCAAATGAAATAATTGTTCACAAAGCATGTAATCGGATGTAATTCAAACTGCAGATTATTTTTATGGATTAGATTAAGAATTTTTGAGAAATCTAATCGATTAATTCTATGTATAATCAATGACAAACCATTTTAGTATATTTGTCACAAGAAGTGCTTCAATATATTTTGCTGCAGCTATATACGATGGAAATGGACATTTAATCAATATACAATAATTAGAGAACGATTTTAAACCTGTCAATCAATTCCCTTTAAGTAACACGGATTACGCGATCGCGCGCGCGTCATCCAATTTTATATTTATGGAAAGGAAATCGCTTAAATATTAATAAAATTGTCTTAAAAGAAACGTGATTTATACATTTATTTTCACAACAAACATGTTATTTATTATATTCGAAATACATATTTTTTTGTTCTTTTAGTAAAAAATATAAAATTATGTATTTGGAAAATAAATTTTATTTCTCTTATAAGCGTATAAATAATTTACCATTTATTCTATCTAGTATTAATTACATAAAAAAGATGATTTAGTTGAATTATTTAAAAACTTAGCTAGAGAGAGATTTAAAAATAGTTTTATTGAATCTTCAAATTAATTACAAATTTTAATCATGATCAGTAATTGAGCAATGCTATAAAAAGTTTCGACATTCTACCAGCGTGTAAGCATCTTACATAATTATTTTGATGGTTCAACGAAGTTATTTTCAGATTGAAATTTTTAAATACTTCAGCCAATTAGTCTTTCTATGTATGATATTTCAAATCCATGATAAAAATATAATCCTATGTAATAAATAAGATCAAGCGCTGCTGATAGTAAAGGAGACAATTTATTCATCGGCCCAGAAGTAATATTCTTTTGCTTCAGTCGATGGGGTTAGCCGCAGGGCAGACGACCATCGGAATATCGTTCGCACTTTGTATCACCGACCGCGAACACCACCACCGTCGACACGTTTTGGACAAACTTCTTGGCTGTATTTTCACGTAACGTGGCCAGCACTACCGCCGTTTGCCAGCTGCGCGGCGCCCGGAACAAATAGTTGGTAGCGCTTGAGAATACGCGAAAATCGTCAAGCTCGGCGGCTCATTTCCTCAGTGGCCTCATTCTCGGTGCGACCGAATACATGCACGTACGGTAACGAGCGGATACGGAAGATAAATACGAGGAGTTGTTGCGGATAATGTGAAACGAGAGGGGGGGGGAGGGACAAAGAGAAAGGGGAGTTAGGAGGAGAGCCGTGAGCCCCCGCTCGTGCGCGTCCGGGAATTAAATTCGAGCGAACTCTCGGTTCTACCGGAATTTCTGCGATGTTCAACTCGCGCAAATCCCTTTTTAACGAGATAAAACCCTCGGCGAAAAGAGAGAGAGAGAGAGAGAGAGAGAGAAAGATGAGGAGTGGCCGGACCCCCGAGAACGCAGGAAGGGTAAATTCATTTGAGATTAAATACATCCGACGTCTGTTAAATCGGCCCTTATCAACCGTTACCATCAAAGAAACGCCGGATGAAATGTTACTGGATTAATTGCGGCGCCGCAGTAATTCGCAGATGTGTCTTGCGAGCTTTTTCATTTGTTATGTGGCGAGAAGAGCGATGAGACACGTAGTGAGATACGTAGCTAAGAGCTGCTACGCGAAGCGCGTCATGATATATCGTGCTTCCGGTGTTGAACTACACACTTGAAGTCCTTAAACTTTAATAAGGTTGTTTAAACAAATTTTTACACTTCAGTGCGCGAAAGAAATAATTTGCAACGTGAGTTCACAGACAAAACGATTATGTTTTTTTATAATATTGTTTAGTAACAAATAAAAATTAAAAAAGTGAAAACTTTCGATGTACATAAAATTATTCGTAATTTAATCCTTGAACACGTTTCATGATGTATCAATAAAAGAAATAATCTATATGTGAGTTATAAATAGCATACAAATAATTATCGATAAATTTTGTAAATACCTATTATTATATATGAAGTAGATTGAATAGTATGCAGGCATCAGAAACTTTAGAAAAAGCTCCATTTTATCCGATTAAACTCACATCTACCAACGGCAACTTTTATTGATTGTTCGAACTTTGATAAATGAATTGAAGTCGAATCAACATCGCGCCACCTGTGGCACTAATGTATAGTCAGTAATGTTATAGAAACGAATACATCAATGACGGTAGACCATACATCAGAATGTACGATTATTGCGGTGATAAAACTTCATGACCCCGATTACCTTAATGACTTCCACCCACGGCATTATCAAATAATCTAGGATCTACTCCCTTGTAACAAGTTGCATTTATTAACAGCAGTACTATCTGGATGAAACAAAACTTTTGCTCGTTTCATTAGTTTCACTTTCAAATCGTTCCATCAAAATTTTTAAACTGGGTCATATTGACAAAATTGTTATTATAATATCTCCTATTTTTAACGACACACACACGCACACAAATGTTAAGTATATTTCTAAAAAAATATCTATATATTATGCGTAAACTGCAATAATTGACAATTTTGTTTTATATGTAATTTATTAGTTAATATAAATAAACATAATTTATAAAGTAATTATCATTATTATTATTATCTATCTCAAGTATTCCTTTAGATAGAGTTTAAATTTAAATCAAATATTTCCCAGAAATTTTTCGTATTTCTTATAGGAAGTAGATATTTAGAGCGAACGATATTATCAAAATTTGTTTTCTGCAAAAAGCGAGAATGTAACGACTTGAGAAAAATATCCTTTTTTTGCTTTTTTCTGAGCACTGGCAGATAGTCGTCCCAAATGCAAGGCGTTTCTCGAGAGTAGTTCATCGTGCCCCTTGGCTTGCCCGCCAGGAACGGACGTCGAAACCGCACGTCCGTTCGGAAAAAGTTATTCCCACCTACCAGTAAAATCCACTGTACGTGACTTTCCGCATGGTCGGCGACAGACGAGCCATTTTCCAACACTTTAACAACATCTTTACTGGCGTTTTAGTCTGTACATTCTCTTACCATTGATTATATTTCAGTGGCTTGAAAATCGCTTGAAGGTACTCGAACTTCTAATTAGTTACAATGAACACTAAAATCGTTTGATCACTTATCGAAGATACGTCAATAACTTTTATCGAGTGATTTATAACGCAACAAAAATAGTTTGCTATACAAGTGCAGCCTTTTAATCGTATCAAATATAATGGATATTTAAAAATTGTCTCTTATTGGCACATTCTACTTACATAATAAAACAACATAACAAGAATGTTCTCATTTAAAGTTGATTGTTATAAACAACTGTGTCGGAATCAAATTTCTTTAATTATTCTCAATCAAGTGCATGCTATCGAAAGTTAAAATAAATGGCCTCTAAATTTAAATCATTCTACGTAATTTACAGTATAAATTCATAGGTTATAAAGTGGATTGTGTATGTACTAATTATTTTTAAAAACATAAAAGCATTTAATTGTAAGAGATAGTCGAAAAGAATATAAATTACAATTGTATGCACACAAGACAAGACTTTTAAAGTCAATTGATTTTTAGAGAAGGGAAGGAAAAGCTATAAAGCGAGAAAAAAATAACGGAAGAGTTTGCCTCTCTCCATTTCCTTCTTTCCACTTCCTGATACCGGAGGCAGCAGACGGCCGCGGGTCAACGCAGCTCGTTTTTCATTAATTGAAAGTAAACTTCAGGAAGGGAGAGCTAGCCTGACGCTTGGGGGAATCTTTGAACAAAGTCATTCCAAGTGAGTTTTGAACTTGCATTCTGCCGCCAATCTCCGTCAGCTGGCTTGTATAATATAAGAATCTGCGAAGTGCTTGAAGTCGTTAACGTGCGAAGTCTACCTTTTGCAATAGAAATCAGAATCGATGAAAACACTGCAGAAAACGATCTATTTAAACAGATTTAGACGTTGAACTTATACGTGATCGTAGTACCAAAAATACATCAGATTCACGAAAAGAAGAGTAACAATTCTCTTTTGAGTTTATCGATGCATGAAATGTAATTGAATGCCCCGTGGAACATCAATTATTATACTGTGGCTGAATTTCGAAATCTGGGGATAGTAAACTTGTACGAAGGATTTACGTGAAAATGTTTCGACGGACATCTTGTAATCCCTTGTAGCTTAACCTGATCAATACAAGAGCATTGGTAGTGGAGCACAGTATATACAACAATTTTGCATGTACAAAGTTATAATAATACGAATATAGTCATTTTGAAGAACATTTTATAAAAAGAAAGAGTAATAATTATTTAATATTTTTCAATAAAAGTATTAAATATTAACTAAACTCTCAGTAAATCCGAAATATAAAATATCGTTTTCTTTTCAGTATTATTTTTTCCTAATTAATATTGAAAAAAAAAGTTTAGTTAAAACTTTTGAACTTTTTAGTCATTTTAGTTACAGTGCGCAAAAAATACACGCAATTATTGATTTTTGTCAATGAGCAAGCAAACAGACGGTTAACGTATATTCTCACGTTAGATTTTACGACAGCAAAGGGATGACCGCAGAATCCTTCCCGGTCAATAAAGGGGGCCGAGTAACGCGACGAAGTAATTCGCTCGCGGATAAAGTGGATCACCGAGCATTGCCAATTTAGTGGATTTTCTCTCTTAGGCTCTCTCTCTCCTCTACTCCCCCAACCCTCGATCGTACATCGTTGACGAGGTTTTAATTACGCTAATTACTCGAACGACATGGCGGTTCGGACGTGTATCGTCGTGGGAAATGCCTGGGCTCTACGCGGAGCGTGTTAAAATAGATATTTACTGACCTGGATTTCGCCATTCCTCGACCTCGTAGTCGAAAGGTCGTTGATTTTGTCGTGATTTCTTGTTACTGTTTCTACCTAAAATGCATTACACAAAGGCGGTTTTACATTGGTGCTCTACGGTAGGCTACTGCGAACGAGGAGTGGAAACGGATGGTTTTATTTAAGAATCGAGAAATAAATGAATGCCGGATTTCTCTCTCAGAGGTTTCGCTCAATCCTAAGTTAAAATATTATTTCTACCTATTTCGAGATCCATATTAAACGCTTCCGGCGATTTAAGGTAATACTGCATTACCTTACCGCTCAATTTAGATCACGACGTATCTTTTCTACAGCTGTCCTATGTACTTATCGTAAATACAACAGATATAACTGAGACAAATATAACTGAGACAAATATAACTGATACAGACATAAATTGAGAAACAATACCAATATTTAAATAAATTTAATTACCATTCTTGTGCGCTGACGTTGCGTCGTATGGCTGCTGTGTTGTAGTTGTTGTCGACGGAGCTGGGATTTCTGCGTTAAAGTAATCAAGTGGCATACTTTAATATTAAATTCGACTGTTCAAGAATGTATGAGATTGCATTCAGAGTAATAGATGATGTTGAAGATATATACAAATAAGTCAAGTATCATTACAACGTGGAAGTTTGTTAGATTTCACGATTACTCTTCACAAGTCCGTGATGTTGAGAGACATTGAAGCGGTCTACAATTGTTTTCGCGTAGATCGTCGGTTAAACTAAACAAAACTTCCCTTTCTAATCTACTATTAATGTTGTCAAGAAAACAACACATTTCGAAGTTTCACTATGAAACCTCACGAACTTCCGCGTCCTATTATGCTCCACTTTGCTTTGTGTATTATTCAAAATTGAGATTTTCAGAAGTTTCTATATCAAATTGTATTTAGTAATGTGAAATTTTTAAGAAGACTCTCTCTCTCTATGTTTACGATGATTGCATTATATCTTATAATTATGTTAAATACAAATTTAATGAGCAATTATTATGATTAATGCTCGTAAGAGAAGTGTACTCAATCTCGTCTATTGCTCGTTAACGGCGAAAACTCAAATATCTTTAAGTAACTTACTATTGGAAACCAATTATTTCACCATTAGCGCTCAGACGTCGATTTCGAATAATCGATCTTAAATAAACCACAACGTGATATCACTTTATTCGATACTTTTCAATGCGCCATGTTAAACGTTTTTCACTCAGTGCGAAGATATACCTTTATCGAATTTTACTTTTACTCGTATCAGATATGTACTAACATTCTTATTATCATCATTGCATGACTTACCATCTAGCTTGATGACACCATCCGTCCCGCCAAGAGAATTTTGTGCAATGCATTTATACGAACCAAAATCTTTCGGACCGACATTTCTTATCTTCAGTATCATATACCTGTTGTAACCACTGTCGGTGGCTACCGCATCGTACTTGTCGCCTGAAACAGAATTGCCTGTGCAAATAAAACCAGGTTCTCCGACTTCCATTTAAAAATAGAATTGTGAAATCGTGAGAAGTAAGAAAGGAAATTTTTAATATCAATTCACATACATATATGGAATTATTCATTTATATACATTGAAAACTTCTAATAACCATTTGTTTGTGTATTTATAATTTTCATGCTTGTTGAATAAGTAAACATAATTTTAAAATATCAGATTATATTTACAAATTTTTAACTCAATTTTTAAGTAAAATTAATATTTCATTTTGATTTAGACTGTTACAATTAGTATTTACAATTTTGTTTATGTACAATTTTGTTTTATTTATTTGTACAATTTCAAATAAGTAAACAAAAACTAGAATATTCAATAATATTGTTCTTATCAGTTTTGATATTCTTCCTTTATATTGCATGGTCATTTTTGTAACAGATATGCAATCAGACAACAGTAACATTTAAAAAAACGAAAACGTTATTTCTTTTCATTGAAATTCTAGATATTTTAAACTTATCAGACATGCAATGATTGTAGGGAATGTGTGCATTCTCGGATTCTTTAAATTACCAGAGACTATCATGTCGCCGCGTTCAGTTGTCCAATAATTTATCGAGTTCGGGTAAGCTTCAGTGTGACACTCGAGGGTAACGTCTTGTCCAATATACGCTCCTTCCAACTGATTTGGTATAGAGAGCATGGGTGGAACTGTAACACAGAAATGATATTCATCATGAATTATGTATATATACTTTCCAGTTGCTAGGAACGATGGGACGCAATGAATAAATTTGCATTAATATATAAGACAAAAGTAATTATGGGGAATGTGAAAATATTTCAGAGTTTAAATTGATTATAACAACTGAATTAACAAACGATATTCACGAAGCTTGTCGTGAGTACGTTAATATAATTATATATTTAGTATGTATATTTTTGTAAAATACAAATGCAGTACAATATTATAAGTAGCCAGCGGAAATAATTATCTTGCTTGAGATCAGACCAATCTAGCAGTCTGATATTTGTTAAATGCTAATCGGAGAACTCATTAAAACAATGTAGAAAGCTTGTACAAATATGTATTCAGAATTCTCTTTTCCTCTCTAAGTTACAAGCCGTTTTTAACGTCCGAAAATTCAGTTGAACCTTACAAAAAAAAAAAACACGACCAACGCACGTAGTATTGCATGCAACTGCATATATGTAATCTCTCATCTTTGCTTTAGAGGTTGTCACGATGTAAAAACACTGTCCAAAAATAAACGATTGCATGCCGTTGCATGCAATGTAGACTGCACGTTGGCTTAATCAAGAAATTTTCTACTGAAAAAACAAAAAATTTACATAAAAAAAGTTCTTTCTGAGTATTTATTTCAATTTTATTCATTCTTTTAATGAGATGTTTCAAGGAAACGTTTCTATCGATTTGTTTTAACTGTGAATTTATAAATATCATCAACTAATCGTTTTAAAATACGGAAATTACATTTTATAAATATCTTATAAAAGAAATCTTTTTTACATAAGCAGATCAAATTCTTTGTCATAAAATTCTCTTGTAAGATGTTCATATATTTTTATTAAATTTATCATTCACAGTTGTTCACTGCTAGTCAAGCTTCATGTTATTTATTGTAGTTTAGTATAGCTAATAATACGTACTTTATTTTAAAAAAGATTTTATATAAAGATTTTATATAAAAATTCAATTGATACTTGATATCGGTGTATCTGATATGTATCATAAATACACGACTGTTCTTTTTCGATCGATACTGATATCTCGGTGTAGGGATAGGATTGTGTCATAGTTTCGTCTTTTACGAACGGACGTAAATCGCGATTTACTAGTAGAGGGTGCGCTTTCAACATAACTGCAGAGTTTTTCCACCCATTTCCCTTTCAAACCATCCTGCTGAGCTGTCAATAAATCCGTCGATAGTGAACAAAACTACAATTTCATATATATTATTCAATATAATTTTAAAATATAATTTTGATTATTTTATAAATCTTTTAGCGACAGTGGCGAGTGTTAAAAAATGATTTGATTTGCGAGATTGTAACGTTTCATTTGTAAATATTGAATCACTAATTCAGTAAAGATAAGTACACACACATTATCTTTATATCTCTATATATTTGAATAATTTATATTAGCTTCAGATGTCAATTCTTTATGATATAAAATCTTAAAACATTATTTTCTTTTAAAATTAACTATTGATGGAATAATCTTTATAAATCTTCATATATAAATTATGCTATAACTGCACAACAATCCACTGTAAAAAGAGTATCTTTACTAAAAATAAAGTCACTGGAAAAGTTGTTAGATAATATATTTCTGTGATGCACGACCGTTATTAATTCATGCCATGAGTTAATAATACTTGTGCGTTTATCATGCCTCACGCACCGTCAGCAAATCAACATCCGAGAGAATATATTGTACTACAATATACCATATAATATCCCCGAGAATCCAAAAGAAAAATACTATGCCGCGCGTGGGCCGCGTGTAAGTAGCCAAGTAGTTGACGCAATTCGTGACCCTCGTACGAAATCGCCGTTTAAGGCTTGAATTTCTTGGACGATTATTAATATTTGTGTTCGCTTACAGGAAAGAAAGTGCAGAAGTGAGGAACTAATATGCCAGAAAAGATGGCGTAAGGACGCGTTTCGCACCCTAAACTAAGTGGAATCCGAGAATTGTAGATGGGCGACGGTTGAAATGGCTGCGCGAGGAGGAACGGACGTATATTGACCATATCTGGGTCAAGTAGCCACCCATAAATCGGTGGCTAAATGAGACGTTGAAAACCGACCTAATGCATGGCGCATCGCGCGAGAATGCTTCTACGGATGAAGAACAGCCATTCTTCAACGAGTTGTAGCGGTGTTCGTTAAATAAGATTGGTCCTGTCATTCTGCTCTTACATAAATCAAATGTATTCATCTTTTATAGTTATCGATATTTTCTCTCCAATTTATAATACATTATAAAAACATTATATGTACATACCTATAAATTTTTCGTACATGTTATTGTCTTACATAAATATTTTTATTCAATGCTTAAAAATATTAATTTGTAGTTTAAGAATGTTATTTGAAAAAATATAATTTTATATAAAATAAAATACATCATGAATTAATGTTTTACCAAATTATACGTCGTGAATTATCATGTTTTGACAAATCTCTGCACGATAGAGAATATAAAATACTACAAGGTATTTATAATGCTACAAGACTTGTTTGAAATTATATACATACAGCATGTAGTTGGTGTAACGTCGAGAGATTAATAAAAAGTAGTTCACAAGCAGCGATATTAGCGTAGTTCATATATCAAAGAAAAGTAGTGGCTTTATTTCATTTCTAACGTTTATGAACCACGTCGAGTTCATTAAAAGTATAATATATCCAACATCGTGCTTTACTGCTTCCAGCGACCAGCATTTACCAAGTTACGCGCGCCTCGCAATCGGGAAGGCATGATAAAAACGGGATTCTTTCCATCATCCTTTCTTATCATATTTTCTTGTACAGAAAAATACGCTGGTATCCTTATGCGACAATGGTCGCTCCTTCCCAAGTTTTATCCTACTCTTATCATAATACCAAAGTGCATAGTATTACGATGACATCGTAGTTTTCGCTAATGGCATATAGATACACGGAGAAATCAATAGTGTATGCGCCAAATCCAGTATTCAGTGGTACGATATTGATGTAAAATCAATCTAATCCATACCAAATAAATCCCTAAAAATATGCGTATTCGATATTGATACTGATGCTATAAATATAGTGAAATAAATAGAATCACGTGCAAATGATACATAAATATATGTGTGTATTATACAAACATTATACATTTACAAGGGTTAAAAAAATTGTTTTTCATATAGATTGACTTATAAAAATTAGAAAAATAATTTCAATTTAAAAAATACTTAGTTATACGTACATATAAAGTTTATTAATAATTTAATATAAAAAATACAAAAACATAAAATATTTGAAGTATCTACTCATTTATACAATACATAGACCTTTTAATTTATGTTCGATCCAACACGATCCCGCGAAGTTTCGATTGGTTCAGTTTCGAGATACTCACGCTGTGGAAAATAATTCCTACAAACTTTTTCAATCAGAGAAATCAATATTAAAATCGCTGCCTTTGCGAACTATTGGTTTTATCTGAATTCGTTAGGTTAATGGGCATGGATGGGCACGGATCCATATAGCTTTACGAATATTTTGAAATGTTTCTCCGACCGGTATTTATAAACAAATATTAAATTGTACGGAAAATCCTTCGATATTAATTCTTTTTTATTATAAATTTTATCGCTTTACGCCATTCCTATCCTTTATCAAGAATTGTATCCATCGTTCGTATTACGCTCATGTGTATTAAATTCATAAATTTCAAGAAATGTTTATGCGTGTGATGGAAATCTTTGATAACGTGGGAAAATTAGTAACTTACATTGCACACGTAGCGAGACGCGCTTGCTCACCGATGGCGGAACGCCGTTTGAAGCTATGCATAAATAAGCTCCCATGTGAAGACGGCTTATCTTCACGATATGCAGCACTTCGCCATCCACGACATTCACTGGAACATAAAATGTTCACATATATTAATATGTAAACTGCAAAAGCTTTAGGAAAATGCATTTAATATACTCTTTTGATATTTTCAATGTTTATGGCAATATAAAATGTTAGCAAATAAATTTCTATATGAAAATACAATTGTTGTAAACTATGATATGAAACCTATAAGCAATTAATTAATAATCAAATTTTTAATTAAACGATACTTTTTAATTAAAACGTATTTGCGTTGTAGCAAATCGCTGAAAAATCCTCTCATATCATATTCTGCCCAAAATAATTATTGTATAACGTGTAATACAATTTGGTGAGCGCAGCTCGCCGTGTTTGTAATAATTTTTCTCACGAATTAATAAACGAAGTGTATCATGATAATATCAGTATTATTCCGAAACGTACAGATATCGATAATGTCGACAAAGAAGGCAACATTCATCGGAGCGCAGGTCGCTGAAAGCGCGCGATGCGCATATGCGTCGAAACTTTTATTGCATGTCGTGTGACAAAGAGCACTTTGCGCCTTGCCAGAGAGCTATTTGCATCTACGCTGCATTCATTTCTGGCATGTTGGTTGATATGACTGGTGCAGAGATAGATTAAACTCTGTAAAGGCGAATTATGTCTGTATCCCGTCAAGAGAGCTGCTTAGACACTACCGACAATCGCGTACTGATAATCGCATTATTGCTACCAATTCTGTTTGATTACAGATCGCAATAGCAAGTAATCCCAACGTGCATAAACGAAGTAGGTACAGAATTAAATGTTATTGAATAATAAATATTCTTGACCATATACACATTATAGATTCTGATTCTATATTTTTTCTCATTTTAAAAGTGATAATAGTGTTATACGGATATAACACATTACTTGTATGCACATCAAACCAGAACAGTGTAAAGCAGATCGTCACATTAACGGAGAAATTACTGTATTTGATGGAACGATCTATGCATTATCTCGCTATTGTCACTTAATAGATTGTGTATGGCATGCAATGTATTTTATCCGAATATACTCGTAGAAATCATATAATCAACAAATATTTGATATATTTTGATGGCATCGATTGAATCATGTTCTATCATATCAGGGAATGAGAGTAACTTGTTACTTGTAACGAAGTTACAATTACAAGTTATTATGTGTTTTTATTAGTATATCGCTTATATTTAAAATGAAAATGCTAAAATAAGTCGGTGTGCTTTTTCCTATTGCACCATTTAGTTTAAACCGACATTTCAAGAAAATGCAAAAGAAACATATAGCGCGATGGAAAACCTATTTAAACTTCTTCTTGCAATAAAGTTGAAAGCATCGTGGGACGCGAGAAACTTTACATCCATTTGACCGAACTGTGTAGAAGCAATAAAGCGTTGTAAAAATACACAAGGTGTTACAAGTTATGCGTGATGCTCTTAAGGGGTTCACGCACTTTGATTCATGTCTAAGAATACTTTATTTTTATATAATTTTTATCCTTACGCAATTTCATTATAATTTAACCTCTTTAGACCTGATTTTAAAATTAGACTATATTAAAAATGTGTTAAAATTCAGTTTAGGGGCACTTTAATAAATAAATAAATAATTTATACTAAAAAATTAAATTTTATTTTCAAAGTTTGGACTATCTTTTCAACATTATATTATTATGTACATCTGGTATTAGATAACGTTGCTAAAATCAAATAATTACAATAAACGTCTTCAAATTTGATATACAAAAGTCTGAATGGATTGATAATATAAGGCATTGTAATACAAAAATTGACTACGAATTATATATATAAATATAATTTTTAAATCTCGGTAAATGCGATAATATAATATTATACTTACAACACAAAATGCATAAAATACGTTTAAAATAGTTTACTTATATTATCGCGTATATATCATCTTTATATGTATATGCGTTTTCATGCGTTTCAATAAAACTTACGTTGGATAAAACAAAAATTCCATTAAATTACGCTACACATCACAGCTGAAGATTTTGCTGTTGAAAGGGAACGCAACATATATACACGTGCAGCAATGAAAGCGGTGAAAGGGATAAAGTTGTTACCCGACCAGCAGTAGGATGCGAGAGAGTGCTGAATCCTTGGTAGCCAACCCCGTGCTACAAGCTGCGCGGCAAACCTATCTATTGTTCCATAAACAATGCAGAGTACCGGGGATTCTGCCCGGCGGGTCGCACTTTCAAGGGGTTTTAATCAAGTAGTCCCGCAGGTCTTGTGCCGGAACTACTCGCTTACCGGTTTAGCGGAAACCTTTAAAACTTTCGGCTTAATGGGAAACCGCAATATGGCCCGGTCGAGCGGAATTTCACAGCGGTCGTGCCGCGGCAGGCGCGAACAAAAGAGAACGCGGACAATTATTATTTTCGGGCACGCCCAAATTTTATCATTCCTCCCCGATCGGGATGACTCAGTTTAATTGCCAGCGATCTGATTATTTCACGGTAGGGCGGCGATCGATGCCATTTAAGATTGGACTATACGCTATTATCATATCGCGTGAGCTCACACATTGTCATGTCATATTACATTATGAATAACGCCACTTAATAAAGTCATCATTGACTTGTAATTCTCTTCTAATTGTTCTCACATCTTCTATTTGTGGAGTTTTTCCATGATCTTCATTGTGTATGTATCTGTGTGTATTTTTAACCTACAATTCCAGTTTGTGTCTATTTGTCGAAATAACAGAAAAAGAATGATACATTTAAAATGCTGCGAAATGTAAAAATTGCCAGAAAAGAAAAACAAAATAAATTAAATTCTTCATTGCTATGTAACAGGAATAAAATATTTGTCTAACGTTCGTATAATGCAGAATGCAATGAGAGAAACATCTGCCGTGCAGAGATATGTACATATTACGTGAATATTACGTTCATATATTAAAGTTATAGACATGTACTTGATGTACGTGTCTATAATACTACGTGATATTGCCTGCGTCGACCTGGAAAGATCAGTGCTCAAGCTATAACGTTATTAAACTTCGGCAAAATTGGCTCCCAATCGTCGAGCTTGATAAAGTTTCGCGTTGCGTTCGTGCCGGCGCGCGCGCGCGCGAAAGTGTTTCGGAATTTTCACGGGACATTACGCGTCTGCGAATGACGTGAAATCTTTCGTGACTCATCCGTCGTCGGCAAATGTGCGTATAAAGAGAAGTGGTGCGCGCATAGGAAGTGCTCCGAAATAAATTAACGTTCATTCACGTCGATGCCGGGGCGTGCTTTGCATAACGTTTTCCGCGACGTATTCTCAGCGGCGTAAAAATAAGCGAACAGCTTACTCGAAGACGAAGTGGAGGGTTGGCCACCTATTTGGGAATTAGTACGTGATGTATTCCGGCCCATAAGCGAAGGATGGGTCGCAGATATTTCATCCCATCCCCCTTTCTCGTAGCCTTAAGTGCTCTTTTTCGCGTTATAACCGTGAGATAACCCAGGTACATTCATTTCCAAGCGAAATCCTCGGCCAACGATTATTGCTGCTAATGTATCCGCGAATGTTAGACCAGACGTACGTAAGTGATTCTTATGTATTTATTGCAGCGGTCGTGAAAAAGTTTTCACAGACGCATTAAAGTGACAACTATGATACAAATAGCGCAATTATATAAGTTGTAAAATAAAGTATTGAAAAAGCAAACGTGGCATTCAATATTTTTATCTTTCAAATCTACGTCTCTCGCGTTTTCTATTTTGTAAAATAATTAAAATAAAATATATATTTTCATTCTATCTGATTCACTTTTTTTTTCATATAAAAAAAAAAGGAAAAAGAAAGCTCACTCCATTTAAATAAAACCTGAAAATTCCAATATACAAACGTGGACACTTGAATAGCTAACATGTTAACGATCTATGCGTGCATATATAAATACATACATAAACGCGCATACACAAATGGTATGTTAAATGGTATGTGTAAGAACTAAAAATATTTGGTCACATTTTCCAGTAGCTATTTGTATAAGCTTTATGCATGGAAAAACATAAAAATGTCCACAGATTCCAGACAAATTGCGTAAATACTTGCGACAAACGCGGACGATGAGAAATGAAATGAAATAAAATCGCTCGTTATTACGCTACGGATTCAGGGTGCATCAACGATCGATTGTCATGAACGCTGACGTCACGAGGTTTGAAAGACAAATTACGTTTGGAGTGCAGCATTGCGTAAAGCGGATGAAAGACGGGGCTATTATATTCCAGTTTCCAGCGAGAAATTTCTCAGATAATATTGACTTCGTGCTGAACGCTGACTTTACCAGCGGTTTGGAACGCACAAAGGAACCTCAAACGGTAACGAGAAAACGTAACGTGCCTCTTCACCGCAAGCATTGGCGCACCACAGACATCAGGGCGTTCGATACCGGTTCGAGCCGGTTGTGTGTACGTGTGTGTTCTCCCTGGCAGGGCGCAGAACTGGGCGAGCGTTGGGTGTGTAAGCGCAAAATGAGTGCGAGGTATAGCCGACTTTGCGCCGTGCTTTATACTCGATGCACATCGGATCCTATTCTCCTGTACGTACGTCTACCTGGCACACCAGCGCGGCGGGAAACTCAGCTCGTTGTCGGTTTCGATTTTCCAGTCGCATCGCGTTATGTCGGCCTCGCGTCGACAAGCCGTGGTCGCATTAACGGGGAGATCTTGCCAGGACTCGTGAGAGTATCGGTGACGGAAATACTCGTGGTATATGTGTCTCTCGCTTTCTCCCTATCTACCTTCGCTTCTTGGTAGATATAAACAGGTGGGCGAGAGGAAGAGGCGTACGCGCGCGTCCATGACTTCGCACATGTATGTACATTTAACGGTCGGTGAACAGTACATATGTGCAAGGATTCGTGAGTACACACATAATCACAGGCGTGCAGCTACATTGATCCACGATAATCGTGTAGGTGTGTACAGTCGAGTGGATGGTTTGCGCGGTATGTACACGTCTGTTACACATACGCGTCCGAATGAGTTTAGAGTCGTTCTCGTATATCGAGCAAGATAGAGGGAGAAAGGAATGGATCTGTCCACCCGACTAGTGCTGATGGGAATGGAGTAGCGCACACGGACACGATGGACAGGCTGCAGTGACCAGGCGGTACATCTCGAAAAAGTGGAAGAAGCCAATCGCGTTTCCCGGGCACGAAGCGCGTGATACGGCATCGACGAGTGTCGACGTATACGCGTTTCCATAACTATGGAGGCAACATGAATTTTCGTTCGCGCGCGCAGGTGAACCTCCCGGTTCATCGGGGTTGTCGGAATAGCTCCTACACTCCTCCGGCTCGAACATTGCATCCGATTCCAATTCACCTCTGCCACGAAATCCGTAGATATCACTGAATTGCGGCGCGTTATCGCTCTTATGAACGTTCGTATTAAAGGCACGAGCGGCGCGCGACAATTCGTTTCCGCCGTCTTCGTCGTTTATTTTGTACCTCATGGCCACCCCCCGCTGCACTCGTCTGCGCTCTAATTTCCCACCCGTGTCTTTCTTTTATCTTTTCCCTCGTGTTCTCGCCATAGCCCTTCCGCACGATCAGTTCCGGTACCTGTCCGTCGGAGGTAAATCTCCCTTGTACCTGCAGGTGCCTCGCACCACTACTACCATCACGTTCAACGACGGTAGCACCTCGACGCGCGATAGTTTTGCTAAATTCGATTTGCTTTCTCATCTCTCTCAGCCATTCTTTTTCGGTTACTCGCCCCGAGGTGGGTGAAAGGGCAGACTGCGCGAGGATGGGGCGGGGGTATACCTTCGGCTCGAGAAGAAGCAAGAAAAGCCGGCAACCATCTATACTTTCTCGGAGGGTTGGTGGGTGTCTGGAGGCTATCAAGCGGGAAGTAATGGCGTTAGCCCGTCCCTCGTGCCCCAGAGGCCAACACATCAGTTAGTAACACGGTCGTACGGCTCGAACGCGAACCATATTCACCATCGCGATATTTCGTCCAATTACACGGATAATCTGACGCTCATCTCGAATGATGAATCGTCGGTTTGCTGGAAAGCATCTCCGTGCGTCGACTAATATCGATCACCTATCGATGCATGGCAACTTCACAAATCCTTAATTATAGATGCAATAATAACGGATTTCTAAAGGATATTAAAGGAATCAAAACAAATCTAATTTAATATATAATTTATAATTGGAAAAACTTTATACCTTTAACATTTAATATTACGATCATATTATATCATAATATTAAGTATGCCATAATTGATTTAAAGAATATTTTAGATTTCATTAGGAACTGCTCAAGTTTGTAATCTCAAAAAATTTTATTTAAGGAATCATAAAATAAGATTATCATTAAAAATTTAACAAATATATCGGAAAGTTTTCAACGGGAGCTTAGAACACTTATAACTTGCTTCTCTATTCTCTGCAAGACTCAAATACTGAATCTTTTAAGAGAAAGTAAAAGAATTTAAAAAAATACGAGTATAGACGTTTTGGAGAAGAAACAGTTCATGTAAATGGATGAAATATGGATAACAGCTCAATATAAATAAAATATTCATAGCTTCTAAAAGGTGTTAACCCTCAACGCTCATATGCTGTGCGCGAACATAAAAGTTTATTTCCTCTTTACGCAGTAATGTTATGAAATGTCATCTTATAACTTCAGCTATCATTTTTAAGTTCTTCTCAACGTATATTTTCAAAGCAATAAATATTTGTTACGAGTGCGCGTTATCCCATTTTAAAATAACACGGACGAAGTACAGTGTAATTTGTGTATAATTATAGTATAATACGTATAATTAAAGCAACATACACTTACGTCAACAATATTTTTCTTCTCTGCATTATCGGATTTTTCTGGTACGTTCACCTTCAATGACTACCTTCCATTTACGATAAAATTAGGTTGCATTTTCAAATGCATTACATAATAATGTCCAGACAACGTGAGATGAAATGGAATTTTTTTCGATGGAATGGTTATCTGCATTTTTTACACAAATGTGTATTAATAAACAATATTTAGATACATGAGATTTCGTAGAAAACTGCTATTTTAGAAATACAAAACAAAAATTTATTAATAATCTTAAAACTATGCTACGCTTATACGATTATATCTCTTATCTTGTCTAAGTGAAAAAATATTTAAAAAGAATTTTTGTGTGTTGTTTTGTGTCACAAGAATTAAAAAAATTATTATTTTAATTATCGTTCCTTTTACAGAACAATTGCGAAAATAATATAAAATAAAATGACACGTATATACACAATTAATCTACGAATAAAAATAAAGATAGTTAAAGTAACAAACACAAACAGAAATTCACATATATTTATTAAAAACTTTATCTTAATTTGACTTTAATATAAGAACTTTTTAATTTATTTATCTTAACACAATAAATCGGGCATCACTTCGGCAGTGGATAATCAGTAAATCACGCTACGACTATTTTTCCATATCAGAACGCGTGACATCCATATTTATCAGTATCAGTTTATACGGCCGGCTTAGTATGGAGTAGTGGTTTACGATCTGACGATCCTCTGAGCGTCGGCACTCGGCGTATGCTTGGAAGGCAATGAAAATTTAAATTAGCGCGCAGAAATTAAATCCGACCTTTATCCTTTATTGAGGAAACCCTCTGGAATCTACAGACGGTTTGACGTCTCGCCTTTCCGTGAATATCCACCCCGACCGACAGACTGACTTCTACTTTTTAGTCTAGTCATAATTAGTAATTAAGAGGGTAATTAGCATCGATCGAGACGGATTCAAGGAAGTAGACGTGTTCTTATATCGTATGGTTATTTTCATCATGATGGAATGATAAGGACGCCACAGCTGCGCTCATCGATCAGTTATTTACATCAAAGTTTGATAATTGTTAATTTTTCATAGTAATAAATAATAATTGAATAAATAAATATGTAATTTATTGGTGTACAAATTAATTCGGTCCGTTTTTTGTGTTCAAAAATGCATTTATTTCAAAACAAAATGAATAAACAAATTAATTAAAGTATTGTCCATCGCTGGCTACTACTTTTTCCCATCTCTCAGGCAATTTTCGAATTCCATCTCGACAAAATGACTCGTCTTTGGAGGCGATCATGTTTTGGAAAACGGACCGAACTAATTTGTACTCCTATATTTATTTGTATTAATTGTAAGTACAATTGTAACTAGTTCGAATTACGAATAATCTTTCGTAATATTTTAAATTATATTTTTATAGAACCACCGTTGAGTATGTAAATATGTATCATTCGACTACAAACCCATGTCCTATTTGGTTTACTAAAAAGTAGAGTAAGAACAAAACATTCTGAGCAACTCAATATGAAATAAAAAAGTTTAGCATGGTAACTTGTCGCGCAGAAATTGAAGAAATTTTACCGGATAGGATATCCATATCTCAATGTTATCGACCTCAATTCCGAACTAGCTGTGAACTGCAACTGCACTTTTGGACACATTACAGTACAGTTTGGCGATACAGTGGTTATACCGCGCGCACCTGAATAATTGCGTTCTGGCCATAGCTCAACCGAATTTTGATGTTGGACTAGGAGAGGAATAATTAATCGTTAAAGCACAGCATCCGTTAGCTGGATGGATGGTACTAGTTTAGAGATGTAGCTGTATGTATCATTGTATTTTCTCGCGAAATTATATTATTCACATAATGAGAAAGTAACGCATAAAGAGTGATTATGTTTAAAAACAGATTTAATTAGTGATAATCGCTGATGTAAACATGTAATACAATTCGATAATGGAAAATTTATAAAATATTCCACATTATGCATATGATATATTTAATTATCGTGATATTATATATACATATAATGGCGAACGTGTTGTTTTACTTTCGAGAGTTTCATTACGTTTATACACATACATATATTCTGTTAATTGATTTTATCAAATTATATATACAAAAATATAAGGTATAATTAAAAAATTAATATACTAATCATAATTAAATTATCACAGATTAAAAATTTATTAACTTTAAGTAAATATTATTCTTAGCAAAATATTAAAATTTCATCTTCCTTCAAATCTGAATTTAATAACAGAATATTAAGATACATTGTGTTACTTAAAGTGAATTAAAAAATACTAATTTTTAATATTGTAAATTTAGCACTTGGTAATCACTTCAAATATGTCATCATTGATCACAGATGTAACTTTGTAATTCACAAAAAAGTGTAACAGAAATATATATTTAAACAAAAATATCAACCTAAGATTAATCAATCTAAAGGTAATAAAATTAGCATCATTATTACGATGATTATCGACCGATATACATCTCTCGACAGCATTATAAAATAACCATCCTATTTGGCATTACGCTCTGAATCCATCGTCTCTATTCGATTGTCTATTCGTGATAATCATGACGAATTAATTATGACTTACCACTCTCGCCATTATAATTTATGTTCTGACCATCCTCGCGTCGCCACATGACGTAAGGCTCCGGATATCCGGTCGCTTTGCACGTCAACGTCACATTGGAAGCTTCACGGACCACCATGTCCGTGCTGGTCTCTTTGCTAATAATCGACGGAGGTACTGTAACACAAACATTAGAAAAATTTTACTTTTATGCTAGTCACATTTACATAAATTTAAATTCTTTACAGACTTGCAAACACATTCATCCATCCACACACACACACACATATAATTGTTAGAATTATTAAATATATTGAGATAGAGACATAATTTTTTGAAAGACTATAATTTAAAAATATATAATTTTAAATATAAATAAGAAGTTTGTGCATTTAAAATGACTTTTGTACATAAAATAGTGCTTACCTACAACTTGTACGTAACCTTGACGACTCTTCATTGGATCCGTATTTACCTGGCACATGTACCATCCGCGATCAACTTCTTGAACTTCCTTTATATGAAGATACCACGAGCGGTGATCATTATACGATAAAGTGATACGGGGATTCTGAGTAATTACGTTCTGATGAATCGACAGTATAGTTTGCGTGTCGACGCGCACCCATGCCACCTAGAACAAACGGTAAAACTATCTCTCTTAAGTTCTTTTTAATTGTAGGTATTTTCGCTTTGCTTAATTATACGGAAACATCTTTCGATATATCTTCAACTTTTTTTTATCTCTATTCTATATAATTATAAAGTATATAAAAACATACAATTAATCGTAGTAATATTAAATAATAAACAGTTAAAAAACATTTATTTAACCTTTTGTTACTCTATATCGTCTTGTCACATCTACTTTTTTTTTACTGTATATTATGAAAAATACGTCATAAAAATAAACATATTACAACAATTATTTTAAATTAAAATATCAGATATTAGGAAGTATAATGATAGACAAACATATACTATATCTTCATTATAATACAAAAGTTACCATATAACATAGCAAAATAAAAGTAACCTCGAATATGCCACATCAGGAGTGATATCGAGAAGTACAATTACAAATTACACTAATTATATTTTAAATTATAGAGAAAGTTCCTTTATTTTCGTACAATATATTGTCTCTTTTTAAAGACTATATGTTAGATTCAGTTAAAATGTCTTTTATATAGATCTTGAGGCACACATAACTTATGATGTACCTGTCATTCTTGTTTGCGAAAATTCGCGCAAATACATATATTCTGGCGAGTTTACATGTTTTACTGAAAAATATCGTACTCGTTTCTTTTTCTTATTTAAACTAATAATCAAGTAAGATAGTACTCTCCATCCTCTTTACATAGATCTCGAGAAACTGACGTAGATTCAGAACTACTCACTCTTCTTCCTACTACCACCTGTCTCTCACACACTTTCGTCGTTGAATTTTCGATACGGGCAAGAGGTTTCTTGAGCATGCAAAACATACCCGAAGTCTCGCAAATTCTACAGCAGTATAATTTCCACCGCAAGTGCAACTCAAGTATGTTTCGTGTTTCTAGTAGTACGACTGGAGAGTATCATTCGTAGAAAAGATCAGCTCACTCGCGAATATTTTAGCTTCCACCTACTATATGTACTCGACTCTTATATATTTATACATGTAGGCGCGCGGTTACGCTATGTGTTATATGCGTAGACACGTGTGCATAGTCATACGCTCGTACCGAACGATATTTCATAGTATTCGTTACAATATTGCTTTAATAACTCATCTTGACACAACTCCTGACGCATTCTCATCGACGTAACGGATGGAAGTTTACCCTAAACTTGACATTGTTGCAATCATTAACAACAGAAATATGAAGAATTGAACTGTACTTATTATATATAAAGAAATTAAGTAATAATCTAAGTTTGAAATTAAATCTATAACTAATTTAAATTTAAAATATTTTAGAAATTTTCATTTTCTGAAATAAAAATGTTTTATAAACGAAGCTTCCTTTTATAAAGCAATACAAAGGAAGTATAAGCATAAAACTTTTATGTAAAAAAATCATTTAAAAAACGTATTATATATATTATTGAGAAAGTTTATAAGTTTATTAAGGTTTTTACATTAATAATTTTAAAAGCACAGTACTCTTATACAGATTAAGATTTACATTATATAGATTGTAAACGAGAAGAAATATATATACATATAGATATATATAATTGGTACATGTTCTTGATATGAAATTTACAAATTTAAAATTTCTCAGCTTTAACATAGAAAAGCATTTGACGCTTTTCATATAAAAGCCTTTTGATTAAAAAGATAAATGGATAGTAGAATCGAAATGCTGTTGAAAGAAAATTTTTGAATGAGAAATATGCTTTCTCCTCGGAATGCACAGTGAATACCGAGTGTACGAAAGCTCGTCGAACGACGAGAACATAAATCTTTCATCTCTCATTAAATTTTCAAAAGACGGGTGGCGGATATCTTGCAGATTATATTACATATACTGAGGCACATTCCTGAAATGCGCTTAAAGGAAACGCATGAATTTAATTTACTCGCTTAACAAGATGTACTAAAATCCATGACGAGTAGAGTTAGCTTGCGATATAGATATAGAATAATTTATAAAGTTCTACTTGATTCTGATCGTCATCTCGGGAAAGAAGGAACGTATTATTAGCTTATGTCGAGCTGCGTTATTTCTGGCAAGTATTGTCGCTATTCGGTAAAATGAATTGTATTCTATTGTTACGTCATCTCAATTAACTGAAGGAAAATGAAGCAATTATGCGAAGTCTTTGATAACGGTACGTAAACTAGGACCGTCCAATTCGCAGTCTACGGACCATAAACGCCGTAGGGATTTCAGTTGATACTATCTTCATTTAATTTGTGCAAGCGCTTCTTGCACGAAGGCAAGAAAAGTTCGAATCTTGCTTAATAGCAATTTGCCATGTTGAAAACGTTTTCTTAAGCTCACTTTAGACAATCTATAATTCGCGTCAGGATTCCGAATAGCATTCCGTTTATAACTTTATATGTCGTGTGATATGAGAAACCAGAATGGAGAATGAAAATAGGTACATACATATATAAAATATATATTGAAATATACATTTGCGCGCGCGCGCGGACACAAATAAATATATAGTACAAAAAATAATAAACAGAACCGTGTCAAATAACAAGAATAGTAAGGCTAATGAGAGCTATTCGCTGTTATTAGTGCGATCATATATAAGATATGTTAAAGTGTGAATATTATATACTACGTAAGTAGTTCCCCCCCCCCCTTTTGCGCGCCGAACATCCGTCGAACTTTAAAACGCAAATCTAATTAACTACCGTAGTAATATCACAATTTTTGATGCTTTATAGCATCTAAAATTGGATCTTAATAATATGTTGAAAGACATTAAATTCTTAAATTATAATATTAAAGTAGAAATAAATTTAAATTTATGAAAAATAAGAATTGTGAAGAATATCACGAGTTGGCGTTTCGTCCCGGCTTCCACTACTAGACTCATCAGTAAGATAATGTAGTGGGAGCCTATCTTAGACGCCTGGGAGAGATGTTAGAAAGAAGTTCTATATAAACAGATAATCATGTAATTCGGCACTTGCGAGAATTGACACGATTAACTATAGACCTTTGTTGGCAAGTCGACGTAGTGATATTCTTCACAAAGTTCTTTATTTAAATAATAATTTGAACCGTGTCAGATTTCTATATTGAAATATAAAGAGAACTTTAATCAAATGCACTATATATGTTATAGTACTAGATAAGTAGTATTGAATTCTCATTTCCTGTAATGTATTAATTCTCTCTATGTTAACGTGTTTTTCACAACAAAGACATTAATTACGTCTTTTTAAGATATAACATTTTCATTTTCTATTATCTAATTGTATTAGCAGTTATTTCTCTTGTTCTATATTCATTCTTTATCTGTACTCATTTCGCACAATGTGAGTCGAGCAGAAAATTGTAATTCAGAAGTAAATGCTTGTGGAAGATCTGACATTTCCGACTATAAAAGATATAGATATGTGATCTCAATTTTTCTAAATGTGTCAATCGATGGTTCGAATTCACCTCGAGAAGAACGTGAATAATTATACGATAACGGTATTTCATATAAAATTCGACATACTTGGAACAGAAACGGAGAAGAAGTTTCATTTGAAACCGTGTAATTTTATAATAGCAAAGGTTGTCCCATTAATCATTTCAAACAACTCTAATCGATAGATTTAAGGCAAAGGTAATTCAAATAGCTAACCATGTTTCATATGACATTTGACATACATACAATAGTAATAAAGATAGTTTAATTTAAAGTACCTTATAATGTCGTAGGTTATCCACTACGCAAGCCAGTAGAGCATCACGTCCTACGCTTACTGTCACGTTTTGGATTTCCTCGGCGAATCGGGGCAATTCGGAATCTGCAACAACAACGTAAACACATTTTAGACAACAAATTAAAATCGTTAAAATAATAACAATGAAAATAAAATCTTTGTTTTTTTATTGTACTCATTTCTATTTTTCTAACATTCAATGTTATTATATCTAACGAAACACACACATACATAATTATAAATTCAGATACTCAGGTGTACTTGTATAAGAAATATGGAGATTTCCCCATAGAAGAAATTCAATTTAAAATCCCTAAATTGCAACAACCGCCTGAGCTAAGTAAGCTGATTAGTAATTTGTTTTTCTTTTCGAAATTGCACTCCGTAGTGTAGATGGACACAGAAGATATTGTAGCCTGAAGAGTCAATGTAATCTTATTTAATATAACCGACACCTATTTATCATAATCTCTAAAATTACACTATTGTCTCGGTTATTATGAGCTTTAATTTTTCTCTAAAACAGATTATAGCATAAATTAATTAAAAATAAACTCCTACTATTCATTTTTTATGCGTTACTTTGCGGAGAAACGATTAATATTCATTGCTGAATAACTGCGTAATTGTGAAATAAAATAACAGTAGTAAAAGATTCAACATAATATTATTAAAAAATAAATAATTTTTTTCTTCACAGAGTTGTTTTTCATAAAATTGAAATTATCTTGTAGAATAATTAATTATATTGTTATATGACGAGCAGTAATTGAAAATACGCAAAAAATTAAAACTTTGTTAAAGATATTCACATAAATAATAATTTTATACATAAAAAATGTATTAAATTGTAATAAAATTTGTTTGAATAGTACTAATAAAATATTTACTAAATGTAAACATATATTTTGTACAAGAATCAGTAATTTAAGTATTTTTTATTAAGTAAAATATGTCTTGTAAGTAAATGTTTATTTAATACTATTTAAATATACTAGTTAATACTATTTATTAAATACAATATTTATTAAAATTTAGTTTCTTTAATGTATTAATCCTAATGTATTACTTTACTTACGACACTTACGTCATGGCATATAAATTCCAACGAGAAAAAATTTAAGTTCTCAAATGTAAGGGATAAGGGATGAAATAACATCAACGATTATTCGCGCTTTGGCATCACTCATGTTAATAAATGTTCCTTTCTACACTGTACTATGCGTCTGATCAAGATAAACCTGTCGCGAGCTAAGTACTTGATTAATCACTTCGACTATTATTCACTTACAAACGTTTGATGCTGGCATGCCTGCACGCATGTCTAGACAATACATCGTCTGACCTGATTGCAGAGTTATTATCGTTAAAGCAGTGTAACGAGTTCAGGATTCAGCCTGGTCTCCCTTAAAAGCTTTTACCTTCGTTAATGTCTTTACGACATTCCGAGCATCTGAATTATTTATGGGAACAAAGAACTCGCGGAGAACGGGAAACAGAAAGATGGAAGAAAGGAAGCAGGATGGAGTGGAAAATATCGTTGAGGAAAGAGAGCGAAAGACAAGTACAGAGAGACAAGCTTCAAGATAAGTTTGAGTTACTTTTAGGTCTTTCAAGCGCGACAGCTCGGATACAGGACAGTGTTAATTATGCCCCCAAGTGCTTTATTATTATTATAAAACACTTCGCAGTGTTAATTGTCGCGCCTACGATGGCGGAGATAAAAAAAAATTAATAACGCGCTTAAAACAACTTAAAATTCATTAGGATGGTAAAATGTCAGAGTAACTGGTTTTGTAGGTGCAACTTTCTTCAAGTGTTAAGATAAGAGTTCTTATATTGTGCATCAAGAAAATGAGACTGGAAACTTTTAATGTAGACTAAAAAATTCATACATCTTGTACAATTATTATTAAAAAATTCGTCAAATTAATACATTTTTTAACACTTAAATTTTATTTTAAACATTTTTCATGAGGTTCTCTGAAGTTCTAGTCCGGATAAGTACGTCCATTGTCTAAACTTGATTGGTAATACAGTGTATATTAAATTTTATACGCACATCAACGAGATATGCCACTGTCATAATGGCCGTCAGAGTATTCAACGTGTTAATGATAATAGGAGTCAAAATCGAGTGAAACTGTTGGAATTCGCAAGCACGTCCTCGGAAAGTCGTTATCAAACTGATTAACAAGCTTTGATTAAGGTAAGCCCATGTGTCGGTATGGCACGGAGTGCTTAATAACATGACTCGGCTCTGCTCGAAAGACACAATACATTACATACTAGATATACCGTGAATTTCGTGCATAACAGTCCGCAGTTAATGAATATGAATTTCTGCCATCACCACGTACCTGCGAACAGTTTTGGAATAGGTATTTAACGTGAGCTCTCAGTAGTCGCGTATTATCTAAACGGAGATAACAATAACCATGAAATGTACAAGAGCTATTTACTTATATAGTCTGATCTTAAAACACTTGTCACTTTAAGCACCATGTAAACTTGAGCACAAACTGTTTAAGGAGGCGATTTGCTAAACGTATTTATTTATTTTATTAAGAATCATGTAATAAGATTTAGAATTATAGATGAATTATATTTAAATATATCTTAAGAGCGTGTATTTTTTTAAGAATAAAGCGGGATGGACTACTGACAAATTGTATAAAATTCGGAATCCTATCAGTGACAACTGCGACAAAGAGAACGTCAGTTTTAATCTGCGACATTTACGTCTCATCTCATTCGACATTATCGTACATACCGCCAGGGAAATCGCGTCTTTGTATTTCAAGAGTTCTGACTCAAAGACAGCCTTATTTTCTCGTTAAAGAACGATTTAACGAGAAACGAAATTAAGGGTCACGCTTCTTGCCTCAGAGGCAGCAGCCCCTACGTCTGTCTATCCACGTTTTCACCGGCGCGCTTCGGTGTTTTCTTAGCACACTTCATCACCTTTAACCGCGTCGCAATAGCGTTTGGCGGCAGACTTCGGTGCCAAAGGTGATTCAATGGTTTCTCATTAAGTTCCTGCCTCACTTTGTCTACCTCTTTGCTTTTTGTTGCCATATTGCCACCGCTTATGCAACAGTGATTACTTCTTTTGACGATTAGAAAAAAACCGCGGACTGTAGATTTTTTCATTCTAATTAAAATAAATTCTAAATATTAAACAGATTTTTCTTGCATCACACTGAATATAATTTCTAATTAGCATAATTAAAGTAAAGCGTAATTATTGTATTGTAATGATTTACAATGAATAGCATGCTCATATTTCGTAATATTAAATAGCTAATTTCACATTGTAGAACTTTTTAAATTTTTAATATTTTGAAATTTTTAAATAATTTCAAAAGAAAATTTTGTTAAAATGTTAACAAAAATGTTCCTTCTGTTACATAAACATATTCTCAAAAATGCATACAAGTTTAATAAATGCGAATGACGTTAGTGATGGTTTCGAAATTAAACACAGTTACACGGTTTACATTACATTATAATGTTGTGTTCTGATTTGCGTTTGTTATTTCATCGTATATTTTTATCCCATGGCATATCGTACAATCCCGATGTGTAGAGTGTAAAACGAATATTCTGTTATATATACGTTATATATACCGCAGTTCTATCATGGGATACGATTGCGCGGATAGCTACGGTAACTTTTATTGTGCAAACTATCATAAATTCCCGCGAAATTTCATTTCCAAACTGCGCTCCGCTTTTCGGCTGCCGGCTGTATCTGCATTTTGCAGCGAACTGCGGCGAGGACGCCAGGCGAATCGAGCGAGACTATTTCGTCGAGGCGTACGGGAAGAAGTTAACAGTTGGACCGGCCATTTCCGCTAGGTATTTCGATCAAGCAAGATCTTACACGAGATAACATTGCCGATTGTTCTATGCGCAATTTCAGACGTTTGTCAGGGGGAAAGAAGGGAAAGGGGAGAAGAGGGTACAAGTTTCCTCTCGTCTGTTGAAAACGCGCGACATTCGAGAAACGGTTAAAGCTGTATGACGTCCATACGAACCTACCCGGTGGAGAGCTCTTCAATCGGGAATAATAAACTTTTACTGCAAACTATTTCAATGAAATTCACGCTGAATGTAGGTTTTCAGCGACGAGAGACGACAGAACGGAACTATATGTATGTATAACTATCTTCGGTTTGATCGCAATCTCATTATGATGAAATGGTGTAATGTTGTAATAATTCCGAATCATTTACTAACACATATTAAGATATATGTTATTTTAAAGTAAATCTGTATATAGATACATTATATATATATATATACACATATTTATTTTAAAATAATATTTATGTATATATAGATATATAGAAAGTTATATGTGATGTATATGAGATATTCTTCTCTTCATCCGCATTCTCTCTCTCTCTCTTCCCCTCTTTTACTTTCAATTATATAAAGTAAACTGTATTTTAAGACAAAAAAATATTCGCACATAAAATATTATCTTTATGTTGCAGCAATGTTTGAATAAAAATATAAATATTCGTACCGATATAGCTAGTCAATTTGCGCGCTTCAACAAGCCTTTCAGATAAGAAAATCTTCGCCGATCGAATAGTTCGAACATGAAACTCGTAGGGATTTACCTGAAATGAAGTTAGAGTTTATTGGTTTACTGAAGTAAACGGAAAAGGACTTGTGCGAAACGTGCTCAATAATCTGTGCCACGAGATTATCCGAGTGCTGGCATCGTTTCTTTCGACGTGCTTCTACCTTCGCAGCTTCGCGCGGAAATCACGATGGAATTTTAACAAGTTGCAGCCCGTGCTCGGGTAGCTCGCTCGGAAAACGCACAAAGACTTATGAAAGTCATGAGTTTCCTCTCAGAGCGAGCATTGTTGTTCTTCCGGCTCTTTCCGTGACAAGTATTATGTACCAAGCGGTAAACATGACGTGAACATTCCTATATTAAACGCGGAAATCGCTACAGATCTTATACCCAGATTACTTTAACAAACTCACGCTCGAAAAATTAAGATGGGAAATAATTACTATTTAATCATCAATACAGAATTACATCAAAGAATTTCAAAGTTCTT